TAAGCACCCCCCCCCCCCCAACCCACACACCCACACAGCCATACACACCCAGAACAACAAGCTGCTGTAATATTTAGGAGTTCGTCAGCGAAATGTTTTCTTGGTCTTTTGAAAACTTAGTGACCGCTAGCAAATGATGCATGTAGATCTACGACTGCAAATAAACACTGTGGAAGCCGGCTAGTGTGCTCAACAGAGACAATGAGATATACATAATTATACTACAATCAATATGGTGAAATGGTATACGTTTAATGTTCCTATCAACACTATTGTTCGGTCATTTAAGAGGCGGGATCTCTAAGTTTAACTCTTATCTCTCAAAAAGGACCGAGTCGAATTGGACATTCAAGTAAAGTGCCTTTGTAAAGGACACAGCGGTACTAAAACTACAACGCTAAAGCGAAGAAGTAAATTGCCGTGGAACAGTCTGTCAAGAGAACAACTTTTGAACTGTTCCACGAAAAAAAATTCGTTTTATATTCTCAGCCTTCTTTGATTTTTTATTCCATCTTAATTCTTAATCATACATATCGAACATAAGATAATCCTGCTTGAAGCCCTTTTTCGTTTTCAATACACAATGTAGGAGGTATTCCCCCATTTCTCTGTGTCTCTTTTTTGCCCTTCAGTTATCATTACGTCAATTATTTACAGTTCTGTTGGTGTGGCCAAGATATAACTTGAGTATCCTTTTGCTGATCTCAGGGGCTTAGAATCCCCCCCCCCCCGGTTAAAAAAAAGTCGATGATCACCAGTCAAAGTTCAAATATTCTGATCACCAACTCACACGTTTGTTTGTATCGATATAATCTAGCCAAATGAAGTAGTAGCAAGAAAATCTAAAGCTGGCTTTAACTGCAATTTTCAAAGTTTGACTCAAAGGTAAAAAAAACAACTGATAAAGAACTCGCACTTTGTCGGTATCGATATAGGAAAATTGAGACATTAGCAGCGAAATTTAAAGCTGGCGACTTCAGCAGTTTTATTCACGCATTATGTAGTGATGTAAGTCTATGCAACGCCTGACATCTAACTTGTACACCCTCACGGTTCCGCTCCAAAGCACAGTCGACTGAGCGCCCCCCCCCCTCCCCCAACACACATGCATGCAACTGGTTTCAGGTTTGTCCTTCGACCCTGGTACCTGTTAAAGGTTTAAAAAAAAATCTGATCACGAACTCTTACCACGCCCGTGTCCATATAACTAAATGAGGCAGTAGCAAGGAAATCTTGAGCTGGATACTATAGCAACCAGTGGCGAATGTATGATGTAGAAGTTATTCCCTCATTATTCTGTGCCCTTTTTTTGCACTGGGGCACAGCTGTCATCTGTTTGGTTCTTTGTCTCACTTAGATAACCCTGTCAAACAACTCAGCCTCCGCCGCTGGTTGCAGTAGTATCCAAATTGGTGATGTGCTTTGTCAAAGTCAGTGTTAATAATATTGTTTTGTAGTTAGGCAGTTCCTTTTATCACTGATGCCTGCAATCCTCTTTTCCCAAGGGTGTGCTCTCTAACTTCGCACTCGTTTAAACGGTAAAGTAAGATCAACAGCATAGGCCCTCTTACATCAGGCTTACACTCTATTAGTGTTTTAAATTTTAGTAAGGTTTCACGACACTCGCAACTGTATAAGGCCATCTGAGCGCCAAGGGGTGGATGTCAACAGAGAAGTCCAAACGGGGAATCAGGCTTACTCTCCTTACCTCTCTTGCCTCAACAGCACAAAGTCTGCTTTGACTCTCAACGCACCCCAGAAATACCAGTTCACAAGACAGTGACAAATATACAAAAGAAGTAGAGGGAAACAGACGATAGTAAGGAGTATAGAAAAAACAGCAGTTCTCCAATGTTGATCCGGTACAGTATGAGCATGACGTTGATAAAACAGTCCATTTACTATTCTACTGTGCATAAGAACATGATCATATCCCCTCTTTGGGGATGGCCTAATGACACTTCAGTCAGTAGCACTGCCCTGGAGGGGGGCCG